TGTCACGCTTATTGTGAACATTGATAAATCAACGTTTTCAAGCTATACTTTAACTATGATATGTTAACTCATTCACCCCTGAAGACACATTTGAACTCTTCCAATTCAAAGGTTGGAATAGTTCATTATGAAATTTCAGGGGTGAATGAGTTAAGCCAAATGTATATATATCTGTTGACATTACATTATGATGGAACATAATCCTGTTAAAATTCAGCGTAGAGCTCTTCGATTTCCTACTGATCACAATAAAGTTCAAAACAGAAATTTGTGATAATCGAAATAAACAACACACGATATAGTTGACATGTTTTTACCGTAACACATGAAATAAATTGGATCATTTTAAGGCGTTCACGCTACGGATTTATAGCACGAAAACATTTGTATCGGCATTATAACATAATGCTATGTTTTCATTCATTTTGATATCGACTCGGTCTGGTGATACCACTGATTTGTTTATAGTTCCATCACATGTACTGTACCATTGTAACATCCGATCCAGACATGTCCACACCTGTCTACACACACAGCCAGTGGCTGTGTTACTCCATGTGTCTTGTTTAGGAGACACTTGGCCTTTCTCTCATTCCCCGAGAGGACGTATACCTGGTTAGTGTAGGAGTCTGGTACAAACACTCTGTCATATCTATCTCGTGCTATATTACATTGTGTCGTCTTTTCTAACTCCTGACCATTGTCCAGTTCCCCACTCCACTTCTGTATGATCTGATCAGATTTGTTGATGACAATCATTTCCTTACAATGATACATACTCGTGCCAGTGGTGACAGCTATACATCCTGTGGTCATACATACGATACTCTGCCCATCACCTCCACACGAGATTTGTCTGATCCTCTCCCCGGACATGTTCAGTACCTGTATTGTTGTAGTGGCAGTAGTAACGAACACCTCGTCATTGTCACTGACACTGATACCCCATGCTCCAAACGGACTGATGTCAGCGAATCTGGTCACTCTTCTGTCCTTGGATAATTTGTGTATCAGCGGTGAACTATTACGAAACGTGATCAGTAGTTCTTCTGTGTTGGTCATTGCCAGACACCATGGGTTAAAGTCAAGGCTGACAGACTCTGTGACCTTACCTTCCTTGTTGACTTTAACCAATACTTTAGATCCATGTACTGACATCCATGCGTGATTGTCGTCAATAGGACATATTGAGTTGATTTGTGTCTGCTGAGATACTAGGAATGTAGAAATCTGACTAACCTTTTTACTGTCAACCTCTTTCTTCTCATACCTAAGGTCGTCAGTCTTCAATTTGCCGACATGAATATATCCAATCATTGACTTTATCTGATCTGCGTTAAGTTCCCCAGGAATGAAGTGAGGTGGGCGAGGTAACACGCTCTTTTTAGTAACATCATACAGCGGTATGGTGGTTCTCAGTCTCCCTGTCAGCTCCAATATGGATGTAGTGGACATCTTTTCTGTCTTCTGCTCTACATCTTTGATCAGCTGTTTGATCTCTTTGATAGTTTGCTCGTTAGATTTGCAGTCCTGTTGATAGGATTTTTCTTCTTCGTTCACCAAGGCCGATAACTCGACCAAGACGGCGTCGGCTATGGAATCAATTTCTGCTTTCAGTTTTTGTCTCTGGGTTTGTACAGTTTGTCGGATGACAGCCACGCTCTCTTTGACTGACTTGTTCACTTCATGACGTTTGGATAGATTATCATTAAAATGGTCTGACTTGGACTTTAATATTTTCAATTGATCTTGCATGTACTGTTTCTGCGAGACAATTTCCTCTTCAATATTTTTGAAAGTGTGTTGTTTATGTCCCTCGGTAAAACACATCGTACACATCGCGATGTCACAGTCACTACAGTACAGGTCACATGTCTTACCTCGATGTGTCTTACAAACCTCTGGGAGTACTGCCTCGTCCTGCTTGTTCGCCTCTTTTATTGGTACGACATCGTCGTTTTTTGTCCTGTTCGCTCGTTTATGGATCTCCTTACAACGATCACACAGAACCTCCAGACAGTCATTACAGTACCAGTTCACGTCCTGTATGCTTTCACACCATGCACACGTGTTGGGCACGTGAACCTGGGCGCGGCGAATAGATAACTTACTTGCCATTTTGCTACTAACGTTTATATCAATTCTGTGAAAACAAGCCATATCTTACAGGCCGCCATTTGCATTTGTTGCGAATTAAACTTCCTTCTTCAAGTGATCGTTATGTTATTTGAATCACGTGTTTAGTTTAACTAACAGAGGTCTATAGCTACTCAATGTCTAAAATAGAGGCCCGCACAAGGTAGATAACGGTAACGCCGTGTACTATGAAGTTGATAACACGCTATCCATGTCGCTCAAAGAAGAACTTTTTTACGCTTTCACAACACTTGTGTGTCCGCAGGACGGGATTCAAGATGTGAAATTTTTTAACATTTGACTTTTTTTGAGAAACAGTTATTCTTACGTATACAGACAAAATGTATTTGATACCGATATTTACACCTGTGTGCCAGTCCTTTCATTAGAAGTTTAAACCGATTTTATTTTTCAGCTTTACCTTTACAAGAATAACCATTAAAATTTGGTGTAGTATATATAAATTCATTTAAAACTATAGTTTTTTTTTTATAAACATCAACATTAAATCGATCAGTCACACGAACATATAACGGACCCTGAGTAGAACCACGTCCGTAGGGTCTGGTAACATGCTCGTTTCAAGAGTGTGGCTGAGAGTTCTACAATAT